AAATCATAGCTGTATCGGGCAGTGCTGTGTGTTCCGGTTCTCACAAGGACTGTCCCAGTGCTCCCGGAATGAAAGGTGAATCCAAGGATTTGTTGCATAAAAAGTATTACATTGACTTTGATAGCAATAAAGCGGCAAGAGCTTCTAAAATGTGCTGTTCTGGTTTTGGCATATAGCAGCTCAAACAAATGGTTCATCAAATGGCTAGCAGTGTCAGTGGGAGCTTTTTATTTCCCCTGGGCACCAAGTCACTACAAAATACAGTCGTGACACAAACAGTTTTGGTTAAGTAACCCTGTGTCCATGTATTTTTGAAATGAAAGGCTGCAGCAAGTGTTGACTACTATTGCTCTTCATAAAAGTAAAGATTTTTTTAATTGGACTTTTCTATTGTGGGCAGCAGTTAGGCCTTACTGTAGTTAGTATGGGCAAGTCCAAATTAAAAGAGAATTGGGTTTCCAGAAATTACTTCTGGTGTAATGCAGCTGAGTGTGTAAGTTACATTACAGCTGGAAATAGTGTTCTCAAAGTTCTTGTTCCTGGGATCATGGAAATCTCGTGTTCATTAGAGAAAAAAGGGGGAAATTTCCAGCTTTTGTGGTTGTAGAGAAAATCTAGAGATTGTGAACATTGAAGGCTAAAAACTAGCAAGGCAAACATTCACAATGCGTTGTGATTTTTTTGGAAATTATTAGGAAAAACTTTAGGAAAACGTTACAGGGGAGCTTTGCCCTCCAGCAGCTGGGGCAGCGATTCTGCCGCAGCCCAGCAGCCAGGCAGAGCCGAGCTGGCGGAGCCCGGGTTGGGGAAGGTGGCCGGTCCGACCGTTCCCGACTGAGCAACCTCGATAAATGAAATGTAACACTCTGGCGGAGGTTCTGGCTTGACATTTATTTTTCTGAAAATCCAGCTAGGGTGCCTACGCTAATGCAGGAGGGCCCGTTGTTTGCACAGACTTACCCTGCTGATGACGGCTTAATAAGCTCCTTTATTTTGTGTTTTTATTCAGTAAGCTTGTCAGCTTTTGTGTAGGGGCTGACCTCTGCTGTCGCCCTCTCCCCCCGCCCCAGCTCCTCTGAAAGGGGCACCTCTGTCCCCGTAATTTGTAGTAAGAGGGAATTATAAAGGGAGGTGAACTGACTGGCTGTAGGGACATGGGCTCCTGCAAAGCAATATAACTTTTGCAGGGGCTGACCCTGTATGTCCAGCGCGCCTAAAAACTATTGAAGTCAGTGGCAGTTTTGGGTGCGTAATGACTAATGCAGGACCGAGCCTTTATGACTGAGAAAATCCAAATAGCCAGGGAAGGATTCGAAGGGAAGGATTCGGTAAACAGGGCTACTTGAAATGAATTACGGCACACAATGTGAGAACAGGTCAACATTTCATATCTGGCATACGGTTTTCTAAACAGACAGAAAGGCATCCCAATATTATGACTGTTTGCTATTAGATTCTGCACAAAAATATATTGGGGTGGCATTTAAATGCAGTGACTCAAGATAGCAAAAACATGTGGGATTGTATTTCTTTCCATACATTTAATTGGAACCATGCTGAAAAGGCGTATGAAAACCATCACTCTTGAATATATCTAAAGTGTACCTTTGCGATGCTGAGAGTGATGTCCAACCTAATAGAATTTCAGATAGGGGAGATATTTTGGCTCATCTTTTGCTTCCAGCTATATTCAGTTTCCCCGTGTGGTTATTTTTCTTGTTATTGGATGCATCCAGCTATCTGTTTCTTACTTCACTGTCTGGGAATACAAACCATTTTGTCTCATTTCAGACCTTAAAATGGATTGGACAAAAGCAAGAAGAAGGAAAAAAAAAAGTATTTTGAGTATTTTGGGTAGTACCTCTGTACTTGTTTGTGTGTCTTAATAAGTCAGCTTCTTAAGCAAAAGGCCTAAGAATTACTGTCTTGGAATATTTTGCATCTATATATATTCTGTGTTTTGTAACATCTGTATGCTGGGTGGTGGTTCATCAGGAGGGGATGAATGTAACCATTTTAGATGCTTAACTGGCTGTTGGGACTTGCCCAGTTTGTAATCATGGTAATTACACATCCAAATATGGCCATGTAATTACACGTGCATTTTTGCATTTAGTTTCAGGAGTTCGTTTAGAAAAGTATAAATGCGGCCCAATAAATCCTTTATATCTCAGACTTCTGTGCTTTTAAAACTCTGTATAATTATGTAATAACACTGCATCTGGAGAGGTTTCACTTAAGTAAAAGCAATAAAGAGCTCAGGTCAGATTATGTATTTTTTGAGTTAGACCTACACTAACTGGCTCAGTACTGTGTTTTTCAGCTTGTAAGATTGATTAAGTTCAGCAGTACTCGTGCAAGAAAGTTTTGTTGTGAGAATAAAGAGCAATTTAATAGGAAACCAGAACTGGATCAGGTCATTTAAGCTTCCACAATGACTGGAGTGATTGAATGGGTATTAATATAGTAAAATATACACTGAATACTCAGATACTTGGGCAGTGAAGACTTTTGCCAAGGTACAAATTGGATACTAAAATGAAAAAATTACTTACAAGCAAAGTTCCAGCTCTCTGAGAACGAATCTAAATCATTATTATTACTATTGGCATTCATGGATTGAGATAAGATAGACACAAATAGGTACTGTAATTCATTTCTATTTATGTGTTCATGTGCACATAATTAGATAATAAGACTAATTTCTCAATATTTTGTGTATACAGATATGTATGTATTATGTTTTTAGAATCAAATGAATGTTTAATTTTTGTTTGTCTTCTGTATTTCTATTCCTGGAATGGTTTTCACAAATGTTGAGAATGTCTAATGAAGACTGATACCTTTTTTTGTATTCAGTGTTACTGTGAACCAGCAGTCACTGCGATACTGTCATTTCCCAGTCTGGATTGCTTGCTAATTTCCCTTATGGCTTTTTCCCCAATGGATAGTATTACTGTGCTAAAGACAAGCGCTGAACTCTGCAGATGACACAGAAACAGATGTTAGATTTTGACACTCGGAAGCGAGGGTTTTCAAACCTACCGAGCTTCATCCTGCCTTCCTAGTCTGCCCCCACACGAGAGATGTGAAATACCTAGGAAGAACTGCCAAATCCAGCTTGTCTCTGAGAAAAGATACATACTGTAGTAAATATTTTCAGTTAATTTCATTTTTTGTTAGTTCAGGAGGCTTAAAACAGAATTGTGCTGATGTGATCTTCTAAGATAGTTTGCAGCACACGAAGATTTAACTCCTGTCAATGAGCTGCACAGAAGTGTTGTCACAGATAATAAGGAACAAACCCAAGCCCAGTCTGAATGGCTCTAGATGAAGAAATGATTGCTGTTGCAATCTTTGTCATGGCTGTGGCAGCAAAGAGAAAGGTCCCTTTTCCTCTTTCAAGTGTTCATATCGGCATCTATCACAAATTCTCTGTTGTGCATCGATGTCAAAATCTTTTTGGCATGTTTTAAAACAAAATCTTCTAGCTCTTTTTTTGTTTAGGTTAATGTCCATGCTTAAGCAGCTGTTTTGAAATACAGTGCCATTTTTACACCAAAAAGAAAAATTGTTTACTTGTTTTACATTTTTTGGCACCCTTTTTTCCTTTAAATGTAGACAGCTCCAGTCAGCGCTAGCAGAATGGTTCATAACAAATCCATATTTGCTGACTTTAGCCTGGTCTTTGCTTTGCTGTCTGGGAGGGTCACAAGCTGTAAGAATGTGCTTGATACTCAAATCTGCTCGCAGTGGTTGTGTTCAGCCTCACCCGGCTCCTTCCAGCCATGGCACTGGCTAGTCTGGCGCTCTGCTTTCCTGGTGAAGGAGGGTCCGTGCCTGTTCTGGTTTCCACGAGCCTGGCTGCTTTTGCAGGGTCATATCCGAGTCCCCTCAGCTCAGAGGGAGACCCCCATCATCTTCCCTGAGCTTTTTGAAACTAAAAGAGGTTTGAAAAGTCAAATTACTCAGAGCAAGGCAGTAGAGGAATAGCAGCAGGGCGTTTTTTAATGCTGCATTTTCACACAGACCTTTTTACTGTATGGTTTATTTGACTGGGGGCAGAGATTACATTTAATTTTATTTCATGTGCATGCTGTTCTGACTGGTAAGTTGCAATCAGATCCTTATCAGGCTTGTTTAACTGCCTCTCTGCCAGGGCTTGGCAGGGAGTTTGTAAAAGCCTGTCCCCCAGCCTTGTCAGATATTGTCCCACTCCATATAAAGCAAGACATCTCCACAGTCTTTAAATATTCTTCTTGTGGAATTATTTGTGCAAGTGAAAATTAATCATTCAAATGTCCTTGGAAAGCAAATACAAGAAGGAGCTGGAGCATGGCCGAAATTGCCATTTAAATGCTTTTAAACTGAAGAAGCTACTGACAGATAATATTTTGAAGTATTTGCTGTTCTTTAATGATACTGCACACAAAAGTACATCAAGTATAGCGAGAGGCAATTTCTGGCCAGGAAAATGTAAGTTTTGGCATTTCAATTGCTTTTCAAGCTACCATGTCATTGAAATACACGTTGCTACTTAAAGCACAAACAGTAGTCCTATAGGAAATGTCATTAAAAGCTATTTTGTGATGTCTTTTAAGCAGAAGATCAGTCTTGTTTAGCCAAGTATTGCATAGGCTGAACTACTTTTCCTCAGATAGAATATGTTTCTGAATTCATGGATATTTTAATTTTTTTTTTTTTTCCTCTTAAATATTCATTGGTATAAGATCCTGTACAGAGGGCTGTACAGGGAGCACTTCACTGGCCTTATGCTGTATGAAGCCCACAAGAGACTCTGCTAGCTAATTTGGGAGTTTCGAGGGAGCGTCACTCAAATGAGAGGGTACAAAAGCTATTGGGGGAAACTTCAAGGCAATACAATTCCGTAGAGCTCAGAGCCTTGTGAGAAATGCTCACTTTGCACCTCATCCATGGAGAAACATAAAAGCATGCCAAGATACCTTACACTGATATGGCCTGGTTGTGATTTTTTTCAGCTCTATGGCTATTGTTACCAAGACAGCAATGACATCCCAGACACACTGACGACCATCACTGAACTAGGCTCGCCTTTAGAGATGATTCAGCTTTTACAGACTTCCTGGGAAGACAGATTTCGAGTGAGTAACAACTGTTCTAAAAGGACTTTGAAGAGAGTGATGAATACAAAATAACATCAAGCATGAAGCAGGGGTTATGTACTGTGCAATACAATTCACATTTATTACACGTTTACTTTGCTTATGATTACATCTTGGTTTAGAAACAACATTTAGCACTCCCTTTCTGCAGTGTTTAAGATCCTGTGCTATTTTGTCTGTTGATGTTATCTAATTGTAGCTGGTTATATGCTTTTTACATGATATTTTCAAACATTTCTTACTTCTTAAAGCTCGAGGCCCAGGATTTTTGGCCTTGAGCATTGTGCTCTGCAGCTGGGATTTAAACAATGGAAGGATGTTACATTTCTCTCCTGATCCTTGACATAGGTTGGTTTTATAATTGTTTTCTACTGCTTCCTGCTGTGTTCGGCTTTTACTGGGGGAAGAGTGAAATAAATGTACACAAATCTCAAACCTGGGTAGTCCACCGCATTGGCAATTTACCAGGGGCACGAAGGTCCCAATTAATTTGTCCAAAATGAAGCCAGACTGCAGCAATGCTTTGATCAAGACAGCACTGTCTCGCGCAGCGTATATTGGGACGTGTTGTCGGCTGAGCTTAACTCCCTAAGATGTTGCAAGGCAGCAGCAGTCTTCACCTAAAACACTTTGGATTGCATGGCTGCATATGTACCAGAAAACTAAAAGTGTGCCTGACTGATCTTGGAGCTGAACCAGCAAGGTGCAGCCCACATCCGTAGTACTGAATTCTTGGGCTCTCTGAAGGCTGGGTGGCTGCACGCAGGGTGCCTGTCAGAAATGGTCCCTGGGCCGTGCTGCCTTCTGGATTGCACCTGGGGACGGCGCGGGAGAGCAGCCTTGGTCCCAGTCAGACCCGGGCCAGAGACCGTGCTGGCAAGTGTGCGTGGGGGATTAAGTTTGTGTGCCCAGGAATGTTCCCTGGCAGAGTTTATTTTACTAATATAGATGGAGCGAGCGTGTTCCCTGTGCTAAGCTTCAGCTCCCTTTTCCTGAAAGAAGCACAGTCTTAATAAGTGGTACTCATCACGGCTCCCGAAATACAGGACCTGTCTTTGGCTCATCTGATCCAGGGAATGCAAATAATGGACTGTGACGGCAACTACATACAAACTAAATGACCAAGAGATATGTTAGATTATGAGTAATAAACGGGGATGTTTCCTTCCAGCATGGATATTTCTGAGTGAGCAATTGCAAAGGGAGATGAAGGAGAATTAGATGAAGGTGCTGAGCTGATTCACAGAGGTGGAATTACAGATGAAACATTCCTGTGACCACTGTAATGATGTCTTAGATGACGTCATGCGCGTTAGCTTGTCTAGGATGCGACTAACTCAGAGAAGGAGGAGGAAATAAAATCTTCTTGATATGTGAGACTTGGATGTGGTCTGGTCCTGAAAATGGCTGCATTAAGTATTTGACCTTATTCCTACAAATAATTTGCTTGTGTTGAAGGACTCGGCAGTAAGCTTGTTCCCCAGATCAGCACGTCTGCCTGCACTCAGCAGAGTTGTGTGATACTGAGCAAAGCCTGCATCTGTGTGCTGAAAGCGTGTCGTACAGGGGCATTTGCAGTCCGAGCCTGGCAGTGGGTTCACAGGGCAGGAGCCCATCAGGGCTCAGCTGGGTCACAGAAGCTGCCAGTGCAGGAGCAGGAGCTTTTTGGCATCGGAGAAAAGGCAATAATTTCAGATGAGAGCCTGTGTTTTTCTTCAAGCTAAATTCTGGGTTCATTGGCAATTGAAGATACGTGTATTATCGGTTAGTTTGAGCTGGATGTGCCTTTTACATACAGCGTATTGCAGGATGGCACATACATGAATCCTGTGTCCTTCCAGAGGGAGGAAAGGGTGGTCAAGTCTGGCATCCCATAACCAGGCTTGTGTTCATCTACACCTACAGGCATCTCCATGTGAACTGTGGTATCCTGTAAGTAGGATAAAAATGTTCTAGTCTGGTCAAGCAAGAGAATGATTATAGAAGTGTGAGATAGTCCTAATGTCCCACAGGGGAAGGGTCTGTGAGGGCTAACTTCAGACATGCTCAGCTTTCTTATGAAGGATGCTCCCCTGAGTATATCGTTTATACCCCAAGACTGAATTAGGATTTGACTATTTCAATGCATGTGACCTTTAACAGAAAACAAGGATTATACATAAACAATAAAAAGCTTGCTAGACTGAATAAGACCTGTTATTAATTTAATACATAGAATAAAAATTCCAGTACTTAACTGCATTCATATTAATGCTACATTTGCATTCATACATTACACAGTGAACTCTAAAGGAATGCATGACTTGAAAACAGCGCTTTGGTAAGGGGGATGAGTTCAATGTTCATCAAGTTTGCTGTCTGGTAATAGTTACTTGGGTTTCTGATGTGCAGTTGAAAAGTGCAGCATCAGCACAGAGCTCCCACCCCAGCCTCCAAGTGGCACATGAGGGTCCACCAAAGTAGACCCACCAAGGCAGACGGATATATATACTTACTGAGGCACAGTAAAGAGTTACGGAGGAGTTGTGGAGCTCCTCTTTCTGGGGATTTGCTTCCTTCTTCCCTGGAAAAAGGCAAACATAAGAGGAACCAATGGAAAAAAATTATAAAAGCAGTCAAAAAGTGGGATCAGTACAGAGGCAGTACAGACACTGTCTGCATTTGGAGCTCCAGACGCGGGCGCAGGGCAGCCAGGCCAAAACTTGCAGACCTGGAGTTTGTAAAAGAGCAGAATCAGGCTGCGTGGTCAAGGCCTGTGCGTAATGTGTTATTAAAAGTTAATGCTTTTATTTCTATTAAAAGTAAGAATAGCAACAATGAGCCCTGCTTCAAGAACAGTGTGGGAAAGCACGGGTAAAGAAGCTTATTTTTGTTTCAAGTCTCTAAGGGTTTTACAATCAACTATGTTAATCCTTTGAAAAATACCTTAGTTGCAACATTCAGTTTTGAGTATAAGTTATAATGCTTCTATTAAGTCATATATTTCTGAATATATCTTCAGCTAAAGTGGTTTCATTTATATACTTTGTACTGAGAAAATAATGCAAGGTACCCACGTTTTCACATTTCAGATATGTCTCAGCTTAGTTCGGCTTCTGCATTATTTGGCTCATTCTCCTCTTGGCTCCGTGACATTACTGGATTTTCGCCCTCGGCAGTTTGTGATCGTGGACGGGGAACTGAAGGTGACGGATCTGGATGATGCCAGCATCGAGGAGAGCTCTTGCACCAGTAACAGCGACTGCTTTATGGAATTCCCTGCGAGGAACTTCACCCTGCCCTGTTCTGTTGAAGGACGGTGTCAGAGTATGAACGAAAAAAGGAATCTCTACAACGCCTACAGGTACATGATCGGATAAGGTAAAAGAGAATTAAGGGTGGGCCAAAAGTCTCCAGCATCCTCTGGAGTTATTCACATCAACAAGTACATATTGTCTCAGAACCATTACCCAAGAGAAGTGAAGCCACAGATAGTTGTTTCGTTTGTGAAAATACATAGCATTTATAACTTTGGAAATGTTTTGCATACTTTGAGTGTGATTCACCACTTTCAGTCTAATTTTATGTTGGTTTTATTCCACTGAATTCTTCACACCAGTAGAGATTTTCATAGGAGTGAAACACAGGTGCCTGTGGAGATGGGGGCCCATTAGCTCTGTGTTGAGATCATAGAATCATAGAATCGTTTAGGTTGGAAAAGACCTTTAAGATCATCCAGTCCAACCATTAACCTACACTACCAAGTCTACTCTAAGCCAATCAAGGGTAGACTAGACTAAAAGATGATTCAGGCAGCTCTTCTTCAGTGTGAGTTAAGAGCGGTCATCGCCAAAATGGTGTTCTCCACCACCGGCTGAGGAAAGGGCTGGCTTCAGAGGCAGAGTTAGAGCTCAGCTCTCATCCTGCGCTCCGGCTCAGTGCTCCCTGCCTCACCGGAGCTTGCCTCGGTAGGGTGATAACAGTCCCTGGTGCAGCCACGGCGCCACCGAGACCCTCACTTGCTGATGATCTGGAGCGTAATCCCAAACCTTTGAAAGCAAGTGGTGCTCCCTTTCGCCCCGCTCCCCTCTGCCCGCAGCCCCTGGTCTCTGCGTGGGCAGGCGCTGGGGGACTCGCTCCCGGTGCTGCTCCGCTCTGCGGCAGCGCCGTGCCCGCAACGGGGGACGCGTAGGTGACGGGTCATGCCAGACCAGTCGGCCACGCTGAAGAAAGCGTTCGGCCGATGTGTCCGTCTTCTGAATTTGATTTTAAGTATTTCTCCAAATTTACAGCGGAGTCCTTCTGGGCGATGGCTCTGTGTTTGTGGTCTTGGCTCTCCCCCATTGGCCATCGCCCCCTTCGGAGGGCTGTGTGGGATGCTGGGGGAGCCGTGTCGCTGCTTTCCGGGGAGCCGTGTCGCTGCTTTCCGGGGAGCCAGTAGCCGATAATCAGTGCCACGCTCCTCCTGCCGCTGCCACTCCGGCTGATGGGCGCTGCCCGGGCAGGCGCCCGCCTTGTCTGATCCAGATAGAAGGATGGAGGATCTCAAAGCAATGCCATAATGGTGTGCTCATTTCTTAGGCTTCCCTTTCAAGTATCATGCCATTCACTGCCTGCCAGACCACAGCGAGGAGAGGCTGCTCCAAAGAGAGTCTTCTGCTTTGGTCCCAGGGCGCTCACCAGCATGTGTGTTGCATTAGCTGACCACACTGAAATGGGCTGCACCACATGACAGCCATCTGCAGTTGTGCAGCGCAGTTTTTAGTGTGTCCTGCAAAATTTTCCATTTCCATTTGCTTGGCTTAAAGATCTTGCTTAGCTTGCTAGCTTTTGGTTAAGACCGTTTTACTGGTCTGGCTAAGAAACCTTTAATAGGCGCCCATCCATCTCGGTCGTAAGTGGGGATATGTCTGCGGTGTGGTGGGCTTGCGGCAGGTTGCTGGTCTCGCTGAAGGAAGCAGGCTTTTGCTATTACAGTTCTTACTATTGCCTTTGAACCGCGCACCAGTGTGTAGCACACGCACAGTGCCCCAGTGTTTCCAGCCCCTGCTTTTGCTTAATTCAATAGAGACAGTGGGTTTTTGTTCAACAGCAGATTCATGCTATAGTAGGCTGCCACCACCCATGCTAGGGCATTAGCAACAAACTCTGTGCACTTGTCTTGGAAGGCTAAATCTTCAGGTCGTTAGGTGTAGGCTACTAAATTTCGTATTTTCATGGATGCAGTCTGTCGCTGTAGGGTTAGAGGTTGCCCTCAGGAAACGGTTGCTGGTGCTGTTGGGTAGAAGTCAAAAGCAGCAATATCTCAAACAGTGCCTAAACCCCTTGTAATTTCAAAATATAGCAGGCCCTAGCCTTGAAAGTGTAATTAGCCTACCTAGCTGGTTTCTTTATGAGGTAAATAATTAAAGGAGAGAAAACATCTGGGGAAAAAACCTCTACTATGCAAGAACTGGCCCATCTTGACTTTCAGATGGCTACCTTCTATCACAAATGTGTCTCTATGGATTTTCCTCCAAATGTTTGGAGGAACAATTTTCAAAGCTCTGGACAGTTTTAAAAGTAAGGATAATTAATATTTTGAGCTATTAACCAGTGGCTGAGTTGAATTCTCCATCACTGACCATTCTTAAATTAAGATCAGATAATTCTCAAAAAGAAAAAAAAAGGAAAAAAAGGCTGCAGAAACAAATGTAAAAGGATCTGACAATCTGTGTTACACAGATCAGAAGGGATGCCACTGGCCCTGCAACCAATGAATAACAAATGTTCCTGCAATTAAGTTGTGCAGGCGCCAGTGTCTCTACATGTCAGAATTTCATATGTGGGTGTTTGCATTAGAACGAGTCCTATATTTCTATAGCCACAAAAAACAATAACCTCGGTGACTCGCATCCATCCAGCATTTAGCAAAGTAAATGACAGCTACGTGATTTTTGTGAAGAATATTCACAAGCAGTCAGACTCTGATTCATAGATAATCTCTAAGCAAAAAAGTGAGGTAAAATTTACCAGACAAATTATTCATTACAACTGTTACGCTGCTCTTTAGATTTTTGTATGTGTTTATATTGGCTGTTTCATCATACTCATTGCTAAGAAAACCTACCTTGGTATAATCCCGCTTGGGAAAAACATAAATAGTGTTTTTGTAAGGGGTGGAAAAGGGAGTTAAAATCTCAAGGAAATATTCATTGTGTAAGTGGAATATGTCAGCTCAATAATACCTGTGTCTATGATCAATTTTTGCTATCAGTACCTTAATTTTTTAATTTGTGCTTATGTGAGACGTCTGCTAGTCTCCGTCCTGACTGTGAGTCCCTGGAGGTTTCTGTCTGACAATGTGGTCTCTGTATATGAAAAAGCATTTACTTTGCTTTGCAGGTTAGATGTAAAGCAGGGCAATTTCCTAATTGTGTTCCTGTTCTGCTCATTACCTAATATTTATGTCTGATAGTTCTCTTTATATTGTCAGATCCTGAACTGTCTTTGTCCATCTTAGGTTGCTATGACACTGAGTTTGCAGTGGGTAGTAATACTGGCAGAGTAGCAGAAATTTAAAGGAACAATGTGAAAATTAAGTGTACTTCAAGTGATGGTAAAGGCATATTGGTTTTTTCTTTTATAATTAAAAATGTTAAAATGGAGAATATACATCCATTGATGAATATCTACATGAATGCATCTTGAATTTAGATAAATGATGAGAACAGAGAAGACATTCTGATTTGCAGTGGCATTAAAACAACAGAAGGCGGCTTTCTCCTAGCAATTAATTTCAAAGTCTAAGAAAACTGTAGAAAAGAAAATAATAGTCATTTATTTGAAGTGAGCAGGGATTTGATTTATGGACTTTCAAGGTTTGAAAAAAAACCCCAAGACTTTGGGTTGATGGCATCCTTTTAGTTTGTTAAAGTACAGAGACCTTTGCAAATAGTCACAATCCACGGGGCTTCATAGCAAATTTCTGTATTAATGGAACATTTACACGTAGTTACAAGGCAGCCTTGTATATAACTGTGGTCTAGGTATGCCAGACAGCTGTGTGAATAGTCTCAGCTATATATTTATTTGACTATAGAATAGGATTATATTTCCTGAATAGGTCAGTGGCTTATAAGCAATAGGAATTTTATTCCTATGTTGTTCAGTAGTTACTAGACATTTGTAAACTGGTTTTTTTTTTAATTTTTCAATATGGGTTACTTTTCCATTGCAGGTTTTTTTTTACGTATCTTCTTCCACACAGTGCTCCATCCTCACTGAGACCATTACTGGATAAGATAGTCAATGCAACAGGTAATCTCAATAAACATGGTAATGCCAAGTATTTCCTTTTTTAATGTGACTATCACATTTGGGATGTGGGGGGTGCTGCTTTTATGTTCACTGCAATAGTTCACTGGGGTGAACTACATTAGAATGCAATTCCTTGTGGGATTTGGAGGAGCCCCTGTCACTGGCAGGGGGAATTTTAATGATATAAAAACAGGACACTTCCCTATTGCCAATGGTACCAGTGGTGCTTCTGTACCTCAGAAACCAGAGACAAGTGACATTGCCATAGATCTTGAGTAACTACTGAGGTAGTGCCTTGTGGCAGGTTCGTCCCTTGTGGGGAGCTCACCGCAGTGTTCTCTGCCCGTAGGCCTGGGGCTCCCAGCTGGATGAGCCAGCCTTTGACATGCCTGGCTTGTGTCAGGTATGAAACCCAATTTGTGGTAACTCATGGACTTCATGTCCACGTCACAACGCCGTTGTAGAGCAGGGCACTGCTGGGGGCTCTGATGCTTAGGGCTTTATTTGAATGCAACCTCATTTTGTCCTGTGCAGGTTGCTTCTCATCTAACTCATAGTTTTTCTGTGCTTTTAAAGGAGAGCTTCACTGGGGAATAGATGAGACGGCTGCTCAGCTAGAGAGGGTTTTGAAGCTGTATAAGAGTGGAGAGTACCTACAGAACACGACCCGGATGCCGAAAGCTGGTAAAGTAGCCTTTCTCGAAACTTAAAATCAGAGACTCTGCTTTGTCTTTTATTTGAGGTTTTAAAGGGCAAATGCACAGAAAATGGAGCTCGATGGCCCTTGAAATCATGCACATGATAATCCGTTGTCTGCTTTTTGCTTCCTGGGAGCATTCTGTAGCCCTTCTCACTAAATGAGGCAGCTGGACATCCATAGGTGTGAGCAGGCTGTAATGGGGATAAGGGAATCCAGGAGAGCATTGCTCTCCATAACAGAGTTGAGGAAAATGTTTATCGTCACATCCACACACTTCTCTGCTGTTGGAGTATCAGAACCTCCTCAAACACAGTTTGGGGGGAATCTAATCAAGATGCCATAACCCTCTGTGGATTTCCTGGGACTTACAGGTATTTCTTGCTATGTAAGCACTTGTAGATTAGAAGAATAAAATTTTTGCTTGCCTTGCAAGAGAAAAATAATGTGTCCCTCAGCTTCTGCTAGCAATAGAATAAAAAAGAAAAAAAGGGACAGGATGAAAACGAAGCTGCAAAGTAGTATCTTTTTCATAAAATCTCTGCAGCACAACAGGTATGTAAAATGCTGTTCAAGCAGCTATGATACGGAGAGATGCATATTCTTCCCGGAAGGATAGCTTGTGGAATTATACACGTCAAAGAAGATTATGTATGATGGAAATGACTGTTAAGTTTAACAATTGAAAAAGCTGTTCTGCAAATTATTTTTGTGTACGTACAATATTCATGTCAAACTGTCAACATAATTGACTGCAAGTTGATGGGAAAATTATGGCTTTGCTGCAAAAGCTCAGTAAAGAGGGAAAGATGGGTTCTAAATGAAGATGAATGTTGGCACAGGGGGTTTGAAAAGTTCAATGAAGCATTTGCTCTGTGAAAGAGACACAGGAGCCAAATTCATGCCTGTCATAGTGCTGTTAACCTCAAAGGGCCATGACACCAAGGATGAATTTGACCCACTTATCAGAATAATTCAATATTTATTTTGTTGTAAAATTGGCAGGAAAATTGTTGCAGGTGTTCATTTAACTTTCTAATTTTCAGCTTTTCATCACAATCTGTGCTGAGTGAGGCCTGTCAACACAGCAAAATTATTTTCAGCAGTACAATCAATAGTACAAACACGTCCTTTGTTGAAGAAGTGCCAGGAGGGCTGAAGTTTTTCTGTGATGCTGGTTGATTCCAGATTTAACTGCTGTATCAGGACAAGATGAAGTTTTGAATTGTAGAGGGCTGTCATGTTTATAAAGAATCTCGGGGATTGAAGCTTAGGACAGCGGTAGTAAATGTAACAGTGCAGGTTTCTACTAATACAGAGCAGAGCTCCATGTATATTTGGCTACTGTAATAATTACACATTTTTGTGTTAGTTTAATTCCGTAGAGAACTGGATAATGTAACGCAGAATCTGCTACCCGTGTTCAAGGTTAGTAACGCCCTTCTGTGCAAGGAGCCCTTTATTTTTTTGTAGGACACTGCTCATGGACTTAGACACTCTACAGTGTGAGCAAAGATATGGAAAGTCTGTAGATGCTTTGTGTAAGATATTTGGCCAGTCTACATTAAAGACTGTGAGTGTAATATTGAATTCCTTGATAGGAAAATGTTCTCAACCAATGGCAAGCCTGAGGAATCAGATATCTTAGTGGAAATTACACTTAGATGTGTTTTCAGACTTAGCTGCCATGCCTTTAAGACTTGCAGGCCTGTTTCTTGTTTGTTCTAAGGCTACTTTAACCAAACAGAAAAGGGGTTGTAATTTATTTCTATTTTAAGGCTCCCTTTCCTTGCCAGAAAAGTATGAAGAAGTTATATGGTGAGGGTGAAAAAATGCCTACCTACTCGTTCATATGGCTTTTATTCTGAACACATTCCTACCTCAACAAGTATTTGATTGGTAATACCATGTTAGAATTAATTTTTAATATTCTCAGTCCAGAGATTATGGAATTAGAAATTATTCATTAGAAATTATCCAGAGATTATGGAATGAGAAATTCTCCTGCGGTACAGTGAAGTTGCAGGAGAGGGTGACAGTGGTGCTGGAAAGGACTGGTGTCCAAGTGATCAACATCTTCCCGTTGGCAGGACGTTCCCATCTGAGCTGGCGTTCTGACCAGCAAAACCAGGGCTGAAATGCTGAGCAGATGGAATAATTTGTGTAACTCCTGGTGGGTGGTGGAGGGAGAGATGGGTGTGAAAAGGGACAACTGTGATACTTTGCCAACCTGTCAGCTGAGGTCTTGCTTTGGCCCTATTTGAGGTCTAGGAGGACACTGCGTTACTCTCTGAAAACAAAGAAAAAGTACTTTTAAGGTTGTCAGATTTTTTAAAAACTTTTCTGCCTTGCTCTACAGCATAGAAAGTGCAAGAAGAGTGTTTTCCAACCCAGTGCTAGGTTAAGATAAAACTAGAGAATATGGTTTGGTTCTCAGGCCAGATCAGAGTTAATGAGAGCTTTGCATTCACATGCCTTTGTGCCAAGATCAGGCAGGCACAAGTTCACATTGATTTTGCTGCAGATGATGGAAGTCCCACAAGGTGACAGACTCCCAAGATTTTCGCTCTCTCAAGCAGTAGAAATGACAAGAATTAATGATGCCGGTCTCCTCTGGCATCTAAGGGGTTGTGACGAAATCAGGCCTTTCTGGTGTGTGATCTGTTTTGAAATCCTAAAAGCAGAACTGGAAGAGAATTCAGATCCAAGAATTGCAAGATTTTGTTTTGTTTTGGCTTTTTGGGAAAAGAAACCAAAGAAGGTTAAGGTAATGGTGCTTCAGAATTTGTTTTAGGTCTAAATGCTTTGAAATATCTGTTGTCTTGGATAGAGCATTGTAAATTCGTGCTAGGAAAGAAGAGATCATGATCTTGGGCAAGTGATCTAAGGCCATAACTAAAACATGAACTTTGAGGAAGCAGTCTGTTATCTATCTGAACCTATGTTTTTGAAAGGAAGAGACCTCCTCCTATGAACACCGTGAAGTGAGAAAGGTGATATCGATAATCAGTAGGGAAGTGACATGACGAAAGTTCTTGTCAACCCTAGTGTTCCCATAAATAACGTTTAACAAGATGACATAGTCATATTACAGAAGGTCTTGGATATTAAGCTTTCACTGTGCTTCAGTTGTAAAAGATTTTATAGTGCTGTAAATTATATTATGTTCTGGACTTTGCTTTAGTAACTTAGAAACAGAGTGGAGGCGCGGGAGACATTTGATAGCTATGTATGTGTTCTGTAATCATAAATCACACTACTGTTAATGTTGGTATAGGAAGATTACAGTGTTTAAAACAACACCATGAGCAAATACTTCTATATTCTGTTGACTGTTGGTCTGTCTTGCTGGAATCCAGAAGAATGTGAATTAAAACAGGAACCATGTATTTTTTCTGACATGTGTTATCTAAAAATTATAGAATTGTTCCATTAATTATCCAGATTAAGAAGACTATTAAAAAAAAAATCTACTGATGTTCATCAGTAAAGTCCTGCCCCAGTATCAACATTTTTATTACTTCAATCAAGTGACACTGATTTGTACCAACTGGGTGTCTGGCCCTTGAGCTAAGCCCCAGCCCTTCAGTTAACTCAGAATTTACTCAGAAATGCGTGAAATCAGCTAACACTAGTAAATCCGATAGCTTTGTTATTCATTAAAGCTAATAGATGACCCATTATTAGGCCTGAGGGCGTGCAAGCCCACAGACGGGCACAATTAGCTGCCACTGTTAGTTGAAAGTATGTTCTCAATGCTGAAAAAGCTGAAAGGCTGGACATAAAGCAAAGACACTTCATGTTTTCCTTTGTCTTAAGACAATTTGGCAGGATTATGCTGTATGTAAACATTTACAATACAACAGTGTTTTGAAAAAATGTTCTGCAGGGTCACTATAGCAACCTGCTTAGGAAATTGTAAATCCACCCAAGAATTATTGAAATCGGGGGTGGGGGGTGGGGGGTGTTTGTGCACATGTCTATGTGCGAGAGAGAAATTTTGCAAGGTTGCTGGAATATTGTTTGAGACAGTTTGTATATCCCTTGGCAGGCCACAACGCGAAGGCTAGGAGTATGCTGCTGAAGGCATGTTGTGGTTTAACCCGGCAGGCAGCTAAACACCACGCAGCCCTTCGCTCACTCTCCCCTTCCCCAGTGGGCTGGGGGAGAGAATCAGGGGAAAAAAAGTAAAATTCGTGGGTTGAGATAAAGACAGTTTAATAGGACAGAAAAGGAAGGGAAAATAATAATAGTACACAAAATAAGTGATGCACGATGCAATTGCTCACCACCCACTGACCGATACCGAGCCAGTTCCTGAGCAGCGATCGCTGCCCCCCGGCCAAGTCCCCCCAGTTTCTATGCTGAGCATGACATCACATGGTATGGAATAGCCCTTTGGTCAGTTTGGATCAACTGTCCTGGCTGTGCCCCCTCCCAGTTTCTTGTGCACCTGGCAGAGCATGGGAAGCTGAAAAGTCCCTGACAGGTGTAAGCACTACTTAGCAACAACTGAAACATCAGTGTGTTATCAACATTCTTCTCCTACTAAATCCAAAACACAGCACTGTGCCTGCTATTAGGAAGAAAATTAACTCTTGCCCAGCTGAAGCCAGGGCAAGGCACTTGAAGGCTCAGCCGGGAACATACTGCAGCCCGGTGCTTGCAGCCCAGATTCCAGCTTTATCTGGCACTTGTGCATTTGGTGTTTCTTTCCCAGGGACATCAAGGCTGCTTTGTGGCCAGCTGAGGGGGAAAGGTGCACAGGGCTGCAAGCATAGGCAGAAAGTCTCCCGCTACGCCCTGCCTTGCACAGAGGGCTTTCACATCAGCAGCTGGGCAATCCCAGCACACAGAGGAATACAGGAGCAGGTTCCTTTGCACCCATATGGCACTGGAAGTACAGTGGGACTGTATAGCTGTATAGTGACCGGTTGGTTGTTGCTCACGCATATCTCCGCTGTCGTGCAAACCATATGCCCTGTTC